GCTAGAGCCGCGGGGATGGAGGAGTGCAATGGACCGGTGTGGGCGGCGGGAGCAAAACAATGAAATGGTTACAATGCGCACTTCAATGGCACTGTTGAGTAGGAGGAGAGGTGGAGGGGAATGGGTTGAGGGAGGACGGATGAGGTTGATTGGGGGAGGAGGGTGATGTTGATTCCTTTGGCTAGTCGGTGAGGCCGGACGGCGGTAGCGTAGGAGGTAGGGGAAAGCGGGCCATGGGCAAAGTAGCAGTGGTGGCGCGGAGGGATGAGAAAGGGAAGAGAATAGGGATATTAAAGTTAGATGTGTTGCACTAATCTCAAAGCAATTCAATGGTCGAGAATTTACAATATTAGGAGGTGTATTTCGGTCGAATGTCATACGGGCAGTCTCTTAATTTATTTATAATTTTGATTTCATTTAATATTCCTTTTTATTTTAGACATAGGTAGTTTTGGAGTTAGGCACAATTTAAAATTGTTAAATGATGTTTTTGCCCTACTATCATTACACATTTGGATAGTTGACGGATAAAATATGGAGTTATTCATTACACATAAGGGGGTAATGTTCGTCACTTAGTAAAACACGCAAGGTAAAGATGAGAGACAAGTGTTAGATTCTACGTTGACTTACGTTTAGATAGAAAAAAGTAAAAAGAAAAAATGTGCCACGTTAGAATCAAAGGTAGTACAAATGTATTTATACAAAAGTTCTCCTGCTAATTTAGTTTGTAAAGAATATAATTAAAATCACAACAGATTTTCAAAACCAAACGAGGGGTGAACCACGTGCACCATGTTATTCCTGCAATGTTTTCCCAGCAGCAACAGGTCTTCCCGATCCTCCGGGCTGTGTCGATGATAAGCGAAAGGGGCAATTAAAACCAAACACATGTTTAATTAACAGGTTAGTTAGATCTTTAAAAATCTCGCTTTAATTTTATACTTGGGGCAGATACATGAACAAAGGCATACGACCAGTCACTTCCTAGCTGTTGTGCAACGGTAAGATCATTATAGTTATTGACAAAACATGGTAAAAATATATTGAGTAAAATACACCAGCGGTTCTTAAACTTATCAGGAGGTTTCACTTAGATCCATGAACTTGTAAAGTACACATCGAGGTCCCTAAACTTGGTTTATTGTATCATCCCGATCCAAAGCCACGTTTGACCGTGGTCTTGCCTACGTGGCACGTCACGTGGACAATGACATGTATTTTTTTTTATTTTTTTCTCCCTTCTTCCTTCTTTTTTCTCTTTCTTCCTTCTTTTTTCTCGGTGGTGAGAGGCAGCACGAGGGGAGGGGCTGTTGCAGTGGTGAAAAAAAGAAGGAAGAAGGGAGAAATTTTTTTTAAAAAATCCATGTCATCGTTCACATGGCGTGTCACGTAGGCAAGACCACGGTCAAACGCAGTTTTGGACCAGGATGATACAATAAACCAAGTTTAGGGACATCGATGTGCGCTATGCAAGTTCGTTGACCTAAGTTAAACCTCCCGACAAGTTTAAGGACTGCTGGTGCATTTTACTCAAATATATTTATACAATTACTTCGATTAGCATTGACTTCAATATTTCTATGCATGCTATAGAGCCACATGTGCACCTACCTGAAAGCCTTAGGTAGCTCCTGTCCTCAATTACTATTCATATATTTTAACTGTTTAGAAGGCAATTTATCAATGTAGCTTAAGCCATAGGTACATGTAGTTGAGCAATGTAAAATAAGTTTAGGATAAAACTTTACTTTTGTTCTTAGTGGTCCAAAAGCAAAATTGAAAGATGGGAAGTGAAGAAAAAAGTTCATATATCAAATCTAAAATCTAAAATTAAAAGTGTGTTCCTGTCGAAAAGGTTGGAGTTTAATATCTAACTTGAACTATGATGAAGAAATTTAATTGTCAGGACGTGTTAGACCTTCCTATCAGGGTTTCAAAAACCGCCGGGGGCCCGGTTACCGCCACCCGGCGGTACGGCGGTTACCGGCGGTAACCGCGGTAACCGCGCAAAACCGCGACAAATTTACAAATCGAAATTTGAATTTAAAAATTCGGGCAAACCGCGCGGTTTGGCGCGGTTACCGCGCGGTTTGACGCGGTAACCACGCGGTTTGGCGCGGTTACCGCGCGATGTGTAATGGGTTGCACAGTAACGGGCCGGCCCATTTTTTTTTCTTTTTCCAATTTTCAAATTTATTCTCCGTTTTGCTCTCAAATTTGAATAAATATTACTCTTTTTTAAGAAATTTCTTCACCATAAAACACTATAAATCAAGCACTACCTTCACTATTTTTTTTTGATTTTTTTCTTTTTTTTAAAAATTTTTTTGAATTTGGACGAATTTTATTAAACCGTACCGCGCGGTACGGGTAACCGTACCCCCGCGGTACGGGCGGTAACCGCGCGGTTACCGGCGGTTTTTCACACCCTGCTTCCTATCTTGTAGAAGTATGATTGCAGTGCATGATCTCGTGAGATCCATCCACCAAAAGGTAACATTTCATTCCAACCATTCATTTTTCCTATCCCATTTTATACCAAATTCAAAATTCCCTATATACCCATGAGTTTTCGTTCGATGGCTTCTGTAACCTTGAATTTTGCCTCATCTTCCTTATGTCCATGAGTTTTTATTTTTTATCCCCCTATACCTATCAGCCCATGCCGCTTATTAACTGTGAGTTGATCATTAGATTTTTTTTTCAAAAATAACTATATTGTACTCTGATACTTTACGCTACATACTTTAAAAACATACTTAATATGAAAGAATTCTTACTCTATAATAAAACCAAAATGAACATAATTAATTGGCATCGGATTCTAAAACCAAAATTTAAATTTACAAATATTTTTGAAAAATGATGAAATCCATACATAGGTTTCACTAAAAAAATTTAAAAAAAAACAAAACTGATTTTTAATTGGGTTTAAATTTCAGCAAAAATTCTGAAAAAATTATATCAATTTGATTTGAAACATTTTCTAAAAAATAAATTTTAGTTTCAAATTTATGATAAGTAATTATGTCCTGTTTATTTTTTAAAATAAATCAATTTTTTACATTAAGGGCCGTATTTTTTTCCATTGAAGAGCAAGTAAAAGATATGGGTAATATATATATTTTAAGAAAAAATTAATGGTCAACAAACTACCAACTCACGGAGTAGGCATAAAGAAGGTCAAAATACATAGTCAATGATATATAAAAAGAACGGAATTGCTAAATATCATTTGGCATAATTGTAGGGTCAAAATCTTGCAAATTTCGACCTTAGTGTTTGATTCGTGGTTCATGCTCCGGTGACCAACTCTCCTTCTCCATAAGATCCTGTGACCCCTTCTCCTCCATCACGGGCAACCTTGACGAAGGGAATGGAGTTACGAGTTAGGGTCCCGGGTTAGGATAGGGGTGATAAATGGGTTGGAGAGGAGGAAGAGGAGGAGGAGGAGGGAGGAGATCGTCGAGCCTAGGGGGATGCTAATGGGAGGCGGTAGCTCGGTGGTGGACAGTGGACCCAGGTGGCTCACTCGGAGCCGCAAAGATGGAAGAGGGTGGTGGACTGGGAAGACGATGGAGCAGGGGCACCTCGCCGACACCGGTTTGAGGAAGAGGGAAAGGGGGAGAAGCCAGTCGGGGAGGTCTCATCAGCGCCATTGATGTCTTCCGGCTAGCCGATAAGATCGGACAGTGACATGATGGTGGTGGCAGTGGGAGCGACAAGATCAAGCACTCGAGCCCGCATCATGGCGGCACCGAGGGTGGATAGAAGGGGTAGGTTAGTAAGTGCAGACGAATCTTAAAGCAATCTGACAGTTGAATTTCTACAGGATTTTTGGTGGGCTTCTCTATCAAACAATACACATACAGTTCCTTAAAAAAAAAGTCTAAATTCAGGGACACAGAAAAAAATAGACGAAAATTCGTAGGCACATGGAATATATTTTCTCAAATGGAAGAGTGGGCGCCCACCGAGAGCAAAGGAGCGGCTGGCTGTTCTGACCAGTGGGCCCCACCCCACGGGGACGGTTGGATTCGGCCTGTTTCCAGGCAGGGGAGGCGACCGTTCCTTCCCAGAGAAGCACGACGCCTCCAGCTCACCACACCACACCTCGTGCCCTCCAATTATTTCTCTCTTTTTTTTTTCTAGAACAATTATTATTTCTCTCTTCCTATTTCCCTGACGGCCTCAACATGCATCCTAATGACAGCTACTGATCCTTCTAATCAACCCATATTTTTTTTGTGAATATTGCATCTGAAATGAGAAATAAAAAAAAACAACCACATGTTGTGTTCACCTCACCACTATCACTGAACATTCCTCTTAATTTTGCTGGGTAGTTTTAGACAATTTTTCATCTCCTTTTAGTTTCTCTATTGGAGGTCCCTCCCTTACATTGGAGATTAGTTAGATGGGATTAGTGAACTTGAGCATCAGGGTCAGTGGCAGCCAATTTTGTTAGTAACCTGTTGATAGCAACTCCAGCCACTAAAGTCAAACCCCATGTGTAACTGCTCACACTCTTTGCTCTAATCATATGGTTAATTAAAATGTGGCACACATGGTTGGCTTATTGACTGATACGTGCCAACTTGCGGTTAGTATTTTACAAAGATGATACAACGGTTCATACATTCAAGTCGTGTTTGGACCCAAGTAAACTTTCATTTTCCGATCCACCAGGAATTGAACCGTTTCATGTGAAATTTTAATGTAATTTTCTCGCAAAATGAAAATTATGACATCTTTATTTCTCATCTAGATTTACTAACGTTCATATAAATTTGAACGCATATGAATTATATATATCGATTTTTGCATAACTATATTCAAAAATCAAAGCGTTTTGTAATATGAAACAGTAGAGAGTTTAATGTAATGCATGAAGCTACCAAATTAATCAAGGGAACAAGTCATTAACTGTTATATAGCCTATAGGTTTGTTTAGCAAAGCACCAAAATCATTAGGTGAGGCGTCAAGCCATCAAACCCCAATTCGCGCGTAGAATTTGGTGACGCGTCTCTTTTCTCTCTCTTCTTCTTCTTCTCCCTTTAATTATCATCACAAGACCTCTCTCTCTCTCTCACTCCAAGAACTCCACGCCACCATCCCCACCGCCTCCATTCCACCGCCGCCACAAGCCTCGCCTCGCCGCGCCGCGTTCTCGGCCACGGCGGCGCCAATGGCCGACCGCGTCTACCCGGCCGCGAAGCCCAACCCACCGCCGGCAATGGCGAACGCGGGCGGCGGCGGCGCGACGGCGTCGTTCCCGGCGCCCAAGTCGCAGATGTACCAGCGGCCAATCTACCGGCCGCAGGCGGCGGCGGCGAAGCGGCGGCGCGGGCGTTCCTGCCGATGCAGCTTCTGCTGCTGCTTCTGCTGGGCGCTGCTGGTCGTCATCCTCCTGGCGCTCGTCGCCGCCGTCGCCGGCGGCGCGTTCTACCTGCTCTACCGCCCGCACCGCCCCAGCTTCACCGTCTCGTCCGTCAAGCTCACCGCGCTCAACCTCTCGTCGTCGCCCACCTCGCCGTCGCTCACCGACTCCATCCAGCTCACCGTCACCGCCAAGAACCCCAACAAGAAGGTCGTCTACCTCTACGACGACTTCTCCTTCTCCGCCTCCACCGCCGCCAACGCCGTCCCGCTCGGCGCCGCCACGTCGCCGGGCTTCACCCACGACGCCGGCAACACCACCGTCTTCACCGCCACCATCGCCGCCAACGCCGTCGCCGTCGACCCGGCCGCCGCCGCCTCCGACATCAAGAAGTCCGGCGCCTTCTCCGTCGCCGTCGACGCCGAGACGCGCGCCGGCGTCAGGGTGGGCAGCCTCAAGACCAAGAAGATCGGCATCCAGGTGCACTGCGAGGGCATCAAGGTGACGCCGCCGCCGCCCGCCGCCCTGCCGCGCCCCAAGGCGGTGAAGGGGAAGAACGGCACCGTGCTGGCTCCGGCGCCGGCGCCGGCGGACTCCGACACGGCGGCGACCACCGCCGCGACGGTGAGCACCGCGGCGCACTCGTGCAAGGTCAGAGTCCGTGTCAAGATCTGGAAGTGGACCTTTTAGGTACAGAATTTCGCGAAAGTTTAGGGGCTCGGATGCAAAATTTTCAGAAAAAAGGATTTTCACTTTATCATTTATTATATATTGGAGTAGAAATACCATGCGTCGGTGGGGTGTAAATTCTCTCAAACATTTGTTTTTTTGTTTTTTTGCTTTTCGTTTTCTTCTATATTATCTTATTAAATACTTTTTTCCTCCTCTTTGTAGCGAATGTACTGTATAATTTTGTGATTTATTATTTGTAACATTATAATTTGAATTTTATATTTAAATTTTCTACCTACAAGCTGTTGCCAGTACTCCAGTAGTAGTAGTACTACTGATACAATTTTGGCTGCGTTTAGATCCAAAGTTAAAGTTTGGATCTAAACTTCAATGCTTTTATATCACATCAATATGTCATACACACGTAACTTTTTAGTCACATTATTTTCAATTTCCACCAAAATCTAAACTTTGCGTTGAACTAGACACATTTTGGAATTTGGTAGTGTATGCCAATTGCCAAGTGAGTGTTGGTAAGGTGGGTAATCATGAAGTCATTAGTAGTATAAAATACTACTAACAATCTATATAATTAGAATTAATTATTTAACTAACGAGATTAAATAAATAAGTAAATAATAATGTAATTAAAATCAAGTCATGGAAGGGCATGACATGAGTGAGAGATTGAAGACATGTGAAGGACAGCGAGGAAAGGGTTGCTACGTGACGTGCAGATAGCGGTGCACACAGCTGTAACGCCTTGTACTTGAGCGCAGGAGATTGGTTAGTTTAACGACGACTACTATAGTAGTAGTATTAATTTATTATTAGTTTTAGTTTAATTAACCGTGCTAGCTGGTCAGGTAATAGTACAATCAGCAGCAAACAGTAGAAGGAAGGCAAAATGTCATTAAAGGTCAACACCATCATTGAGTGGCGTGAGCATTTTCAAGTACTACCTCCGTACCTTGCAGCCATGAAAATTCATATCTAACGTTGACAGTATGTTTTATTTAAAAATTTTATAAAAAATTTTAAAAAAATTAGTCACATATAAAGTAATAGTAATCATAAATTTTTTTTTAAATAATTCGAAAACATTGGGTATAGTAGGTCGGACAGACGGAGACAGGACACACACCGCCGTGGATGGACTTGATAACACCACAACTTTGCACGGCATCGGCTGTGTTTCCGATGTGACTCTACGACCCTGACCATCTTGTAGCTTCATCCATCTCTCCCTCTCTCCACTCCATTGGTGCAGCAAGTAAAGCAACCTCGCTGCCGTTAAGCGGGGTACTGGAGAGGAAATCAGCGATACAGTTTGGATGAATTTTGACCAAATTTAAAATTTTGGAAAAAAGCAAAAAAAATTAAAAAAAATAATGGATGTTGTTCTTAATTTGTAATTGCCAATGGTGAAAAAAATTTTAAATAGAGTAAGCTAAATTAAAATTTAAGGGCAAAATCGAAAATAGTTTACAAGTTGAAAAAGAGAAGAGAATATTGGGCCTTAAGTATCCTACATATTCTTCCAATTATTCCAATTATTCTCAATTTCTAGTTTTCTATACATATTCAACCGTATTTTTGATTTTTTCCCCTATTTATTTTACATTTACATGATTTCAGCTACACAGCCCATGATAACCGTGCGAATATCGCGGTAAACCGTGCGATTATCACGGTCAAACTGCGAAACCGTCAAGTTTTGAATTTGAACTTTTGGATGTGATTTTTGTGCGACTTTAGGCGATTATCGCAGTAATCGTGTTGCCGCGGTGTGGCGGTAATCCCGGCCCAAACGATAAGGTAAACCCTGGGCAGTACATTATACTACTCCCTTTACTTTTAGCTCCTCTTATTTAACCTAAAATAATTCTATTTTTAATAATTATTATATCGAAATTTAGAAAAATAGGGATAAATATAATAGGCGTAAATAAAGTGGAGAATAATATCATTGATATTATGCAAAGATATTACTTTTTTTCTTATCTGTATATGTGAGATGGGGGAATAAGATCTTCCTTCGTTCTGAGTGTACGACGTTATTAACTTTTTATGGAACGTTTTACCATTCATTTTATTAAAAATATATATAAATATTACTACATCGGTATTAAAATAAGTTTATTTTCATCATTCTCCACATATCACCAAAAGACTATAATATCACTACTTTATTCAATCCCAACAATTTTTCACTTTATTTACCCTCAATACAATTATTCTCTACCTTCACAAACTCTAATAAAATAATTACTTAAATTTATTCTCTTAACTTAATAAGAGAGGGAGGGACTATTTATACTTTTACGTATTTATACTAAATTTTTAAATAAAATGAATGGTGACGTGTTATTTGAAAAGTTAGTACTCCATTCGTCCCATTTTAAGTGCAGCTATGAGTTTTCATGTGTAACTTTAATCGTCCACCTATTTGAAATTTTTTTGAATAAAAATAAAAAACATAAGTCACACCTAAAATACTTTTTTATCTCTAATAACAAAAAAAACTAATCATAAAAAAGAATTTAAAATAAAACGGATGATCAAAGTTGAACACGGAAACTCATGACAATGCTTAAAATGGGACAAAATGGGACGGAGGGAATAGCTTTATATATTTTAGGATGGAGTTAGTAAAATAATTATTTCGTGAGTTTGTGAGAGAGATGAGGTCGCGCATCACATGGAGAGGGCGGAGCCAGAACGAAATAGAGGAGGATACCTCTTGCTTAATTTACTCTGTTTTAAATCAAGTTTAAGTTAATGCCTGTGTCTAAGTTTGTATTAAGAATGCACACACATAATAAAAATCGATAAGTTATAACTTAAAAAAAAAATTTGACCAAGTTACTAGACACACCCCTCCCATAGTACTCTACCTCCGCCCAAGTGACGACGGGTCGAACGGAGCACGCGCGCCGGAGGCGATCCATGTGACGACAACGGCGATAGACCTTGTGCTTGCTTGATGTACACATACTCTCTCTGGTCTCTGCTCTGCTAATACAGCTGCTGCCATTGGTTGCTTTGCTGCTGCCGCTGCGCCTGCATACTGGAGTAAGTAGGAGTACTCCAGGCCGGACTATCCCGTGATCCATTTTTTGAATCCGCCGGATTCGATTCGGCATAAACGCAGCAGCAACCAGGAATACGGCCGGGTCTAGGAGATCCTCTGCTGCTGGTCATGGTCATCGTCTCATCTTATCGAGACATGGAGAGATGGATCCATGTTTCGTCACGTCCGTACTTCCATTTTATATTTAACTCCCTGTCTCCCTCGTGTACTCACGCTCAGGCCTGATTCAGTTCCCAAATTTTATTTCCCCATAAACAGCGTATCAAATCTTTACACATATGCATAGAGAAATATAGATAAAAAGAAAAATTAATTACACAGTTTGCATGAAAATCGCGAGACAAATCTTTTAAGCCTAATTAGTCTATGATTAGCCATAAGCGCCACAGTAACCCACATGTGCTAATGACGGCTCAAAGATTTGTCTCGCGGTTTCCAGACGAGTTATGAAATTAGTTTTTTCATTCGTGTCTAAATACCCCTTCCGATATCCAATCAAACATTTGACATGTTATCCAAAAATTTTCTTTTCGCGAACTAAACACACCCTCAGTCTTGTGAGAGTGCTGCTGTCCTTTAGAATCATCCTTCGTAAAAGTGCATCACCGGAGCGGCAAAGGAATATTGAAAAACATATTCCCATTTTTGGTGCAAATGCATATATAAAAGAAAAAAGAATTGCAAACCCGTAGAAAAAAGAGTAAATTACACCCATTGTACAACAAGTTGGCAGGTGGGTGCGATATAGTGCAAGAATTTTAGAATTGAACATCTAAGTACAACAACTTAACAAGTGGGTGTGTTTTACTGTTTTATATAAGAACTTGACGATTTAGTATTTTAGTGTATCAACTTGGCTAAGCATATGCTAGGTGATTTTTTTTCACGATGTCAATATGCCATTACATATGCCATTACATAGTAATCCTACAGATATTAACTTTTAATATTGAATTGAGCAAATTTCATAAAACTATATGTATTTTGATTAAATTATCAGAAACTATAAATTTAATATGATGTATCACAAAACTACAGATTTAACACTAAATTTATCACAAAACAACAAATTTAAGGTGAAATGTCACAAAACTACAAATTTAGTAACAACTTTATCACAAAACTACAGGTTTAATGATAGTTTAATCATAAAACTTGACAATTATAAGTCCAACATATCATTAGGACGAACAATTTAAACCCGAAAATCTGTAGTTTTGTGATAATTTTATTATTAAATCTATAGTAGTCTTAAACATATAGTTTTGTGATAAATTTATTGTTAAATCTGTAGTTCTGTGATACATTACATCAAATCTGTAGTTTTATGATAATTTGACCAAAATATCTGTAGTTTTATGAAATTTACTGTACTGAATTTAATCTTTAATAATTATATTGCACATACATACAATTTACATCGAATTAACTTTTAAGAATTTTTTGTTTTCTTACCTTCTTAACTATCAACCAAATATAATAATTTCTACATTTAATTTAATTGACTTTCAGTTATTAGTTATTAGGATAAAATATAAATATGCTCCAAATAATTAAGATGTCGCATAACTTCTTCTCAATTTATTGTATTAAAATCGTACCTACTTTGTAAGTTGTATTTATGTGACCATTTATAAAGTTCTTATACTAAATTACACCTACCTGCTAAGTTGATGTACCGTGAGTGCAATTTACTCTAGAAAAAATACACAAATAATTTATAGGGACTATCTATATATCTTGCTAGAAAACCATAGCTCATAGTTTTCGAATTTTGGAACATTAGATATGCTTTAAATTTTATGTGCAACAGTGATCTTATCATTTTCCTCCCCGTCCGCTTCTCCCCGCAACCGCACGCAGCACAAACGTGAGGCAAGCTCGATTGCTTGCTTCCTCGAGCACCACTGCTGCCATCGCCACTGCCACCCCACACCATCGCTCGGTCTCGTTGGCTGGCCAAAAGGCACGAATGGCGCTGGCGAGGACCCCCTGGCCAGCTTCCTAATCCCCTTCCCCTCTCCCACCCCCTCTCCTCCTAAAGTCATCATCATCGAGGTGTCCCTGCTATGCCATCTTCCCCGTCTCCGTTAGCTCCCCATCGTTGAATCTACCACCACCTCCTAACCAGTTGCTTTGTTTTGTCCTCATCATTGACGTCGGTCCATAGGCCCCCTCCATTCCCGCGACTCCAGCGGTGCCAT